TAGATAGATAGATAGATAGATAGATAGCTAGATAGATAGATAGATAGATAGATAGATAGATAGATAGATAGATAGATAGATAGATAGATAGATGATAGAATCACTTTTTAAAAGTTCACAATGAAAATAAAATTTCACAAAATTACATAAGTTTCTATTTTGAGAGTAAAATAATAAAAATAATTATGTATGATGAAAAAGTTTTAGTAATAAAAATAATAATACTTTTTCAGCTGATGGGAAAACAAACAACAAAAACAGGAAAGTTGTTGAACTGTTCCTTTAAGGAGCTGACCAATCAGAAGTCAGCTTCAGCTCCTTACAGACAAATAAAGTTTTATTTTTATTATCATGTTTGTTTGTTTGTTTGTTTGTTTGTTTGTTTGTTCTGGCCTCAGCAGGTCCAGCCTCTTTCTGTTTCTGCTGTTTTCGGTTCAGTTTGTGAAGAATCGAAACTGAAACCGAACCAGAACCTTAAACCCTCCTCCCGGTCCTCCGACCGGATCAGTCGGTGTCAGGACCAGAACCAGGACCAGAACCAGAACCATGGGGGACGTCGAGTGTCCTCCGCTCATCGTAGAGGGGGACTGGAGTCCGGAGCAGAACCGGACCGTGAAGAACAAACTGCAGAAATACTTCCAGAGCAAGAAGAGGTCCGGAGGGGGGGACTGCCGCGTGGAGGCGGAGCAGGAGGGCCCCACGGCCCGGCTCTTCTTCTGCTGCGAGGCCGGTGAGTGCTGGGTCCACTGGGTCCGACCAGAACCTCTGGGTCCGACCAGAACCACTGGGTCCGACCAGAACCTCTGGGTCCGACCAGAACCACAGGGTCCGAACAGATCCCAGACCCAGCTTTCCTCAGCTGCTGGTTCTTCCTTCGGTTCCGACCCAAAACTGTCAGCTTTTATTCTGAAATCTCTTTTCGACACTTTTAAAATTCTGAGGTTTCAAATTAAAAGTTTCAGATATTTTTAATGTTTAGTTCTTTTCAAAATAAAACCAGCTGATTAACAAACAGTCAGCTGATGTCCCAGCAGCTGCAGACAGAGGACAGGCCCCACCTTTCTTTGTTTGTTTGTTTGTTTGTTTGTTTGTTTGTTTGTTTGTTTGTTTGTTTGTTCAGGAACAATTAAAGGCCCAGTAGAACCGCCTCCAGCAGGTTGATTTCTGATGGAGCTTTTAGCTACTTTCTTACTAATTTTAGCTGCTTTTATTGACTTTAGCTTCTGTTCTGCAGGTTAGCAGGTTAAATAAATAATGTTTTGTTGATGTATTTTAAAGAATCCAGACTTCCTGTTTCCTCCTGTTTGATGAAACTAAATGTTTTTTTCTGGTTTCAGACAGGAAACGAGTTCTGCAGAGGAAAACTCATGAAATCACTGTGGAAAACAAAACGCTGACGTTACGTCTGAGCGCCGCTCCGACAGACACACCTGTGCAGGTAAACACCTGAACCTTGTACTGCAGGTTACAGGTGAGCCTCGTCCAATCAGAGCGCAGCACACAGCAGCAGGGTTCAGCTGAAACTGACAACTAAAACCACAGCGGTCCAAACCTTCGGCTGTTCAGCAGCTGTCTGCTGTCAAGTTCAGCTTTACAACATTTTAGAAAATATTTAAGTTGATTTACAAATATTTCAACATAAAAACAAATTTAGATTTTTTAAAAACTTTGTTCTCGTTCTGCTTCACTTACTGTTAGCTTCTTATGCTACTTTTAGCTTCTTATGCTACTGTTAGCTTCTGATGCTACTGTTAGCTTCTKATGCTACTKTTAGCTTCTTATGCTACTGTTAGCTTCTGATGCTACTGTTAGCTTCTKATGCTACTGTTAGCTTCTKATGCTACTGTTAGCTTCTKATGCTACTKTTAGCTTCTTATGCTACTGTTAGCTTCTGATGCTACTGTTAGCTTCTTATGCTACTTTTAGCTTCTTATGCTACTGTTAGCTTCTGATGCTACTGTTAGCTTTGGTTAGGTTTACAGCTGAGTCTCAGCGCCTTCAGAAGATTGTAAAAGATTTAAGCTCATTTTAAATGATTTCAGCTGAAGAGGCTGAAATCATTTTTATCAACGTTTATTTATTTTATTTTCATGAGAAAATATTTGTTAAAACATAAATAATTAATGAAATATTCACTCACTTGAAGGCTGAATGTTCTGCTGAAGGTTCTGAAGGTTCTGAAGGTTCTGAAGGTTCTGAAGGTTCTGAAGGTTCTGCTGAAGGTTCTGAAGGTTCTGCTGGTGATGGTCCAAACATCTGGTCGTTTTTCAAAATAAAGTCTCTTTGTTTCCTCCTCAGAGCTCGACCAGCAGCCGAGATGTTTCAGGTAAAACTTCTTCAGCTTTTATTTTCTCCAGATTCTTTTCTGATCAGCTGCACAGAATAAATTGGATCGGGTTCAGAACCTGGTACTGGTTCCTGTCAAACAGAACTTTATGTTCAACTTTAAATGTAAATATTAAAACAGTGAAAACGTCTTTTTATGGAGACAGAAATCATTTCATCTCTGCTGCAGGTAAAACAATTATTTTATCTCCAGATTTAAAACCTCCTGAGTCTGAACCTAAACCTGGGCCTGGGCCTGGACCTGGACCTGGATCTGGGCCTGGACTTGGGCCTGGGCTTGGACCTGGACCTGGACCTGGGCCTGGATCTGGGCCTGGACTTGGGCCTGGACCTGGGCCTGGATCTGGGCCTGGATCTGGGCCTCCTGCAACAAACCAAACAGGTGCAAACCTTTTCTACTTTAAAAAAAAAATTAATTATGCTGTGAGACCAGGATCAGTGAGACCAGGATCTGTGAGACCAGGATCTGTGAGACCAGGATCAGTGAGACCAGGATCAGTGAGACCAGGATCAGTGAGACCAGGATCTGTGAGACCAGGATCTG